GCAGTTCTCTAGAAATTCCATATATACGTAATGTAACTTGAATAATAAAATTGTAGTCTAAAGTCGAGTGATTCTGAGGAATTCATAAATTAGCTATTACGCCTCCTTTGCTGATAAAATCGGAAGGCTCAATTCCACTAATAAGAAAATGGGCCCAAATTTGGCACACTTGGGGTTGGAACACAGGGGCAGATAAGAGGTGTAATTAATATATATATAAAAACACTGCAATTCATAGTGTGAAGAGAAAAATTTCTCTCCCTGCCTGGAATCGAACCAAGTCTTCCTGACCGTGCCAGTTACTTCATTAGTTCAGCTACTGGAACGAAAAATATGGACCCCGTAAAGATCTACATGTGTGTTAGCAAAATTTTTCTTGCTGTTGTAATATGTATAACTAACCATAAGGAAAGTAATACAATTGAACTAACTACACCAGGATAACCATTTAGAGAATTATTTAGTAGGATTGATAGACGGAGGATGTATGTGTGAGGTTTTAGTAGTTCGGACTTATATACGAAACTTAGAGCACCTGGGATATGCCCCCGACCTGTAAACAGGTAATCCTCTGGGTAAAAGGTAACCCTCGTCCATTGATTGAGATTAGCTCTTTCTAATGGGTCCAATTGAGAAGGTGTCTTCCTTTCTCACCTGAACACGGAAACAGATTCAGTTTCCCAAACGTCGTGTATTCTATTACCTCAAATTCCGTACGATGGAAAAAGTCCAAAACCCCAGTAAGTCTGTGTATCATCCACGATGATCAGAACCTCTTAGAATATACAGGAACCCTCTGTGAAAGACTGTCTGGAATTTTTCTGAGGCGCCGTGTGTATTTGGGTGATCGCCCCCGGGCCAAGAAACAGTTTATGGAGTCTAATGCTTGATGCAGCTTGCCTGTTACAGCTAATGATATACATCGACTGATATGAAGTTCCGGTAGCAGAACCTGCTGATATGTTAGTGAAATATTGCTCACAATTCTGAAGCAGTTCCATGCATTTCCCATCATCACAAACTACCCCCTTAAAACAAAATTAATTATTCTCTCTTCCCCATCTTAGTCTTCTAAGTGGATGCTTCTAAGATGGTTTTCCATTAAAAAATTTGGGTTCAATTTTGGAGGTCAAGACGGATTTAAAAATATACAAGCAAATAGGTCACAAATATAAATAAAATAGCTGTAATGGATGTAATACGTTTTCCGTGTGTATCACTATGTAGCAGCAGTCCAGTAGCACACGCACTTGTGCATGTACAAAGGCTGGTTTTAGTAGTCAAAATGACGACCGTGCTGGAGGGGTATACTAGCTAATTGGGCTCTTTTGTGGGCAATAGTACTCAGTGCAAAGGGTCAGGGGGGTGCAACTGAGATAGGGGAAAGGGAAACACCGTAACTACTGCCTCTATGAGTGACTGCAGAAACTTCACGCAGGTCTCGACCAATCAGAAAGCCTAAGCAAACCAATTTGAATACCCACAATTATAAGCGGTTATGGTGATGCATTATATGCAAATTGGTAAGTATGAATTTTGATTTGATGTGGTTGCGAAACGAAAGTAGACATTTGCAAACGAAATTACAGCTCCGTGTTAAACATATTATTTGTGTATATGCCTACTACCACAAATAGAATTCTTTCAAGCCTAAAATATTTGAGGTTATCATGAACTGTCATCTAAATCATATTTTTTTTATGATATGTTCTGCAACTTTCGGTTAATCCCAGAGATTGTCTGTTGAATGTGAAGGAGTTCTAAGAGTACCGTGATGGTGTTATAATTTTTGTATTGCTTCGTGCAGTATAAACATGAAAACGAAAACGTGTGCTGCTGCTGCTGGGTGCTTGTCATCCAGCAAGCAAGGCATGAGATTCCTCAGTTTTCCAAGGGATCCAGCACGGTATATCTGTTTTAATTCAGGTGTAATTACTTTATTATGTGTTGCTTAATCCAATGAATAAATTAAGTTAATGTATGTCTGTGTTCAATTTATTCAACATAACCCAAAATTTTAGAATGTGTACCAAGTTTGTAATGTTTCCTGAAGAATTATTTCTAGGTTTTGAGACTATTTGTTCTACTTTTACAGGGCTGCGGTATGGGCAGGAAAAGTTGGAATATCCTTCACTGTTGATTCTGCTAGAATGCTGCACAATAAATATTTGTGCAGCAAACATTTCCTGGAAAGTGATTTCACTACAGCTGAAAGGGTAGTGGCAGTTCCATGTGGCTCAGATTCTGCTTCACAGGCACTCCCACAATCTCCTTTCCCTTCCTTCAGTGTATATTTTGTAATTAAATGTAACTACTTCCTAGGTAGGAAGTTTTACTTATTAGTGTCTACATATTTTATTCATCTAATTTGTTATTATGGGTATATCCCTTGAGTCATTGCATTATTTTGGCCATATTATTGTGTTCAGCATTGATCTTGTGAATATAAATATATAAACATCAGATTTTTGAAGATCATTATAGTCATTCAGTTATTTCATTATGTTGGCCATATTATTGTGTTCAGCATTGAACTTGTGAACATTTACATATTTAACATTTTCAAGGTTCATTATATTCCTTCAGTTACTTTATTAGGTTGGCCATATTGTGTTCAGCAATGAACTTATGAACACACACACACACATATATATAATACTTTCAAGGTTCATTATATTTGTTCAGTTAATTTATTATTTTGGAAACATGAGCATGTTTCAGATCACGAGGTTTGTAAGACAAAGACAAAAACAACTCCGTGCAATGTGACTATTTAAGTTTCAACACTTGAAAACTCAGCACCCTTACATGTTTCGATCCTTATGGATCATCTTCAGAGGGAACATAAATACTTATTTGGAAACCACTATCACAATAAGTGTTCTGAGTGTTAATTACATACACACGCAATGTCTGGAATACATAATATACACAATATTCAACATTTCACAATCACAGCAGCCTTCCTGGTATTAAAACTTTTAAAGTTTTTAAAAACTTGTTGTTTAAGTCAAAATTTTATAAATCATGCAGGTTCATGTCTCTTCTCCTACCGTCTTTCTTGGAGGGGGCTGAACTTGTGCCGCCTGTCTATCTTGTGAAGGAGATTCTTAGTATCGTCCGTGTTTGTTCGTCGCTTGTTGGACGGAGTTATTTTTGTCTTTGTAATTGTTAGTTTGATGAACCAGAATGAAAAAAAAAAAAAAGAAAAAGAGGTTTGTAAGAGTTCTGTATTTTATTGCTTTTCGTATATTATTAAATACAATCTTAATCTTGTTAACACGAGTGTGTATCAGATTCTCGAGTTTCATTATACTACTGAAATTAATAACAAATGGAAACCTCAGTATTATTACTTCCTATATATGATATATAACATATTAATATAACTGTAAAACTATGTTTTGTGTAGCTTTCAATTATAAGTTGTAATCAAAGTTATGAAGTTCAATACAAGTATCTCTGATGGAAACGGAATTTTCTTTCAAGTTTACCCACCATCAGCTTTCCTAAACACAAGTATTCTATATATGTTACAGTTCAAATATCCATTGCATTTCAGTAAGGGGGTATTGAATTGATTTAAATGAAATGTTCTTATTTCACAGGCACTGGTGGGAAACTTTCTCCAGATAAATAAAGTTGCAACCTGATATCTTGTGCTGCAGAGGTTCTTACTCCATTGTGTGTTTTCTGTTTTTGAACTGAGTTTGATATCATTTAACTCATTCCCCTCCAGATGGTTTTGAGCGAAGTGATATTAAACTCGGTTCGAAAACAGAAAACACACAACGGAGTAACAACCTCTGCAGTACAAGGTATCAGGTGGCAACATTATTTATCTGGAGAAAGTTTCCCACCAGTGCCTGTAAAATATAAACATTTCATTTACATCGATTATTAAATCTAGCTATACGTGTGAACCAGTGATTTTTTGGGAGGGAGTAGTAACAAAATGCTGGTGGTATAATAGCATACTTTCTTACCGACAGGGCAGTGGTATGATAGCATATCTTCTTACCGTCCGAGCCCTCGGCACTGCCGGCAGGCATTCTGTATCAAGAGAGTGGCAGCTGGCCACCGCGGCAGCAGTGATGCTTCATGACGTCTCGGCGGTTATGTTGCCCGCTAATAGCATTGAGTTGCATCCCCCTGCAAAGGATATTCATATAGAAATACGTCCTGTTTACGGCGGGTAGTGTTTATTGCGTAAAGCGGTTCACAACTGGGTCGAAAAATTCTCTCAAGGACATTCGAAAGTCGCAGATAGTGCCCGACCAGGCCACCCTGTTGAGACTGCGACAGAAGCAACTGTGCAGCGGGTGAGGAGTTGACTGGGACTGACTGGAGGATAACGTTAGACAGTGTAGCAACTGTGCAGCGGCTGAGGAGTTGACTGGGACTGGTAGGAGGATAACGTTAGACTGCGACAGAAGCCACTGTGCAGCAGGTGAGGACTTGACTGGGACTAACAGGAGGATAACGTTAGACAGTGTAGCAACTGTGCAGCGGGTGAGGAGTTGACTGGGACTGACAGGAGGATAACGTTAGACTGCGACAGAAGCCACTGTGCAGCAGGTGAGGACTTGACTGGGACTAACAGGAGGATAACGTTAAACTGCAACAGAAGCAAGTGTGCAGCGGCTGAAGAGTGGACAGGGACTGACAGGAGGATAACGTTAGACTGCGACAGAAGCAACTGTGCAGCGGGTGAGGAGTGGACTGGGACTGACAGGAGGATAACGTTAGACAGAGTAGCAACTGCAGCGGGTGAGGCGTTGACTGGGACTGACAGGAGGATAACGTTAGACAGTGTAGCAACTGCACTAGGTGTTTCCATAGTTTAGCAGAGAGCATAATGCCTTGTCGTTTGAAGTTTCGGAAAGCGTGCGCACGGCGTGTGCTCAGAGAAGTGAAGGATCGAGAAGAGAGGAACTGAATGGGTCTGTCCTTGTAACATCTCTTACGGTATGCAGACGAAGATGTGCTTAACAGGATTGTTACTGGGGACGAATCATGGTTGCATCACTACCAGCTCGAAGCGAAGTGTGCTTCAATCTAATGGAAGCATCCCTGTTCACCTTCAACCAAAACGTTAAGGTTACGAGAATACCATCAACTGGGGTGGCTAAGCTTACCGTGTTTCGGAATTCTCAGGGTGTACGGTTACCCCGTTTTCAGAAGCGCGGTAGAAATATGAATTCTGCATCTTACTGTGAAGTTCTTTTGAAGCTTCAGGCTACAATTCGCAGAGAACGTCTGGGCCAACTGATAAGAGGGTTCTGCTTCATCATGACAATGCCAGACCCCATACAGCACGAGGAACCCAGGAGATGTTTTAAGAACTGCTGTGAGAACATCTTGAACATCCGCCTTACAGTCCGGACTTGGCCCCTAGTGACTCCAACTGTTTGACCCCCCAAAAACGCCTTGGTGGCAAGTTTCGCTACTGACGAAGAAGTTGAAACGGAGGTGCGGAAGTGGCTGAGACAACAGTCAAAACACGTCTATGCTGTTTGTTTCGAGGCACTGATATAGCGATGGGACAAGTATATCAATGTTCGTGGAGGATATGACGAGAAATAAATGCTTTCTCCAGCTTCGAATACCACATGTTTTACGTTTTATATCAATTTGTGGCCTGTTTATTGACCCTCCAGCATATATACTCATAACTGTGTCTAAAATCTTGAATAGGCTACGCCATAGCTCAAACGATTAGTCGCTGGCTTCCCACCGCGGGGGCCCGTGTTCGATCTCGTTCTGTTCAAGTGGGATTTATTGTGGACAAAGTGGCGCTGGAGCGGTTTTTCTCCGAGTACTTAGGTTTCCCCTGCCAATCTTCATTCCACCAATTGCTCCACAATCACCCTCACCTATCATCTGGGGCTGGTACAATAGGCCAGAAGTGGCCCCAGTACAAGGGACTTAGTCCGACCCCACTAGTAATAAAAAATATTTTACATTTCACTCCATCTTTTAAATGAAGGCCCCTATTTCTAGTCACTCTACGCCCTTATGTACTGCGTATTTTACAGTATAGATAGTTGCTGGAGGTTGGTGATTTCGTGTCCTCAATGTAACGACGGTGTAAATGATATCAGGACTTCATACGCTTCTTTTACAAAGCATGGGCTTGTAGAACTAGCGCATAGTGAAAAGTTGTGCTGTCGTTCCAAGTGTTCCATCCCTGACTCTACTGGACGAATTCTCACGACGTTTGATATTGGCAGTCTTTTTAAAATCTCTCAGGCTAATTTTATCATTTTAAACAGTTTATCGGACAATGAAAACTATATGATAATGACATAGATACCATGAAGGTATATGAATTTTTATTTCAATTTCTCATAAGACTAAGCTTACTTAAGTAATGTTTACTCCCAGAAATAAAACTTCGTCTATATTGAGAAGATCAATCACCTAGTGGTGTGTACAGGAACCACTGGTGCTTATTCTAAGAAGAGAAGGAACTCCCAGAATGAAATCTTGGACGAAATGTGGAAGCGTGTAGTATCACGTACATTTTGTTATTATTGTCCAACAAAGAGCTAAATATTGTTAGACATGCGAAATAAGAAGAAAATAAGGTTTGACAATAATAGAAAGCGAGATCTGTGATCTGAATTGCAACAATGGGTTTCAATCTACAACAAATAAACAATGAAGCACGGAAAATTGTAATGATGCCCTCTTTTTACTTGTACTGAAATCCCGATGTCCCAAGTACGGGGTTCTGCCACCAGGTGAAGTAAGTAGGGCGCTGTTCCTGTAGTTCTCAGTTGCTCCGTGGGGTGACAGGATCTCACAAATATCTTCCTGTTTGCCTCTGAAAGTTTTCATACTGTGGCCCTTCATTAATTCCGGAGTTTACTAAAAATTTTCGAATGAGAAGGGTAGAATGGCTCTGAAAATTCTGCAGGGATGTGTAAGAAATTCCTAGGCCCTTTGCCGAAGGAGCTAAGCGAAACAGCTGAAACTTCGTTCAGAATACCCAGTTGACTGCCGAGATTCGAACTTTATACCTCGCGAACAAAAGCCTCTGTGTCTAAAATTAACTCGGTGGGAAAACAGAAAAAATAAATTAGTTTCTTGAATTGAGGGATAGACTTGAACATTATATACTGTTATAAAATGTGTCTAGCTCTGTGTAAAATAGTATGTCGTTTTATTTTAAATGTTGAAATGTTTATATCGAAAAGTATAAATCTCTGGTCCACTGTTCTTTGTTAAGCCCGGGCTGCAAAAACAGCTGCTGAAAACAATGCTAGATGAGCTGTGAAGTAGATAAGTATTGATAGATCAGGATGGTGTCATTAAAGTTCCCCAACGTTTCGTACAAATATTTTCTCTGAAGATTATTTTTCTATCATTTTCAGTCAAATGAACAGTCCTCTGAAACCTTACAACACTGTGTAAAATCTTAGGTTCTCTGGGATGTTGCACACTATCACCCAACAACCTACACAATGTTACCTTTTAGCTAATCGGCCCTACACTTGCACGAGAATCCCAATGTTCCGCACCGCTAGCACCAAACGTCGTCTTTATGTAGAGCACATTTCTTCAGTTACCTACACATCTGACGCACACAACCTAACACTATTTAAAACCCATCTTAATATTTTCATGTCATTCACTTTTCTGTCTTCAAAGGCATGATTTGAGAACACCAGGAAGATCAGACCAGCAGTGACCACGGGAGAGACCGGAATCCCATATAAATATTTCGTCGGAAAATAAAAATGGATAAGATCGCCTGTAGGGAGGCACTATGCTACAAGCCGGAAGGTCGCTGGTTCAAGTCCCGATGAGGTCATTGGATTTTTTCAATTGACCTAACCCTTCGAGCCGCACTAGGCCCTGGGGTTGACTCAGCCTCTAACAGAAATGAGTACCAGGAATTAAATAAATAATTTTCCTGGGGAGTAAAGGACGGCCGAGGCGTAAGGCTGACAACCTTACCGCCATCTTTGAGCCGATTGTCTAGATATATGTGGGAATCTCAACGTGTCACAACCCTATGGGCCTCCACGGCCTGGTACAGGAATAGCTTTACTTTACTAAGATCACCTTAAAGGTTTCTAGCGCATAATGTTGAAATGAACCTGAAAGAAGCGGAGTAGTGGGTTGTGTTGGCTTATACTCGAACGGGACAGGGACCAGTGGAGGGCTTTGTTAAGCCATGCTGGGATGTGGCCTGCTCACTCTGGTTCCTCGCTCGCGGATTTTTACACCCTGAAGATGGAGACGATGCGTTCCTCCGAAATGTCTGTTTACACACTATCTACACAGCGCCACATCCCAGAAGGCGGCCTTCTTCATAGTCACCGCAGCGAAAACCTCAAATCTTACACGATAATAATCCCTCGGTTTCCATAACAGCAGCGACTTTCTTCAGTAGCTTAGTTATCAACGTATGGGAAGGGACTTTACACCGTTGAGTTATTTACTAACAGTTGTGTAATGATCTGACTATGTTACAAAATTAATCGATAAGAAATGATTAGTTTTATGAAACTCATGATGAAGTAGACAGTTTTAACAGTGTAAGATTTGAAGTTTTCACTGCTGTGACTATGAAGAAAGCAGTCTTCTTGGATGTGGCACCGTCTAGATGTGGTGTTAAGCGACGTTTCGGAGGAACATATCGCCTCCATCTTCAGGGTGGAAGGAAAAATAAGAAAATCCTCAAGCGAAGAAACCGTGAGAACCGGTACAAGCACTGCTGGAGAAGGAGGGAATACTTTCCTCCGAAACGTCGGTTAACACCACATCTACACGGTGCCACATCCCAGAAGACTGCTTTCTTCAGTTATAACAGTCATTTAAAACTTGCTTGTAATGTTGGGATGATGCTGCTAAGCAATATGCTATGTCAAACAACTTCTACCTTTACATGGAGAGACTGCGGATTAATTTATTTCACGCGTACATTATGCACATAATTTCCTTCATAATAAGCCCTGCTATCGAAGCTATAATCCAATAGTCTTAGAAGCCGAAGCGGAGTGACAAACTAAAAAATAAACATTTTTTAGTGACTTCAAAATATCTTAATGATAATTATAATGCTCTTGTGATACGTCATCAAATTATACTGTTCTCGTTATGGAATGCGCTCAGTAGCAGCCATATCTGATTGTGGTCTTCAGATGCAGAGCACCTCAATGTTTGATCAAGTGTCTTTGGTAAACTGTCGACTTTGTTGAACTGTGTTGCTACATGCTACAGGCTGTGCTTAGAACTCCGGAGTTAAGTAGGGTCTAACTGATGCATAATAAACAAATATAATTTGAAGGAACAGGAAGTGCGCCTATGTGGACATTATGTATATATGCCTACACAAGTTTTATACACTAAGATATTTTGTAGCCATGACAACCAGAAGCAAAGCTTATAGATACACAAAAGCAGCTTCTCTGATAATATTGCAGAGGATGTACCCCTGGATCTCAGAGTGGAACTTAAAGTAACGTCTTATCATGTCTTGTAAACAGAACACAACTTACAGAGTTTTCTTTATAACTCAAGAAAAATGAGTTTATTTCAATCACAGATTTTATTGTGTACAAAATTTTTAATGCATTGTGTTGGTGTAGGACAAAGTGAGAAGCACGTTTCGTGCACTTTATGAGGCTTCTCTCCCCCCCCCCACTAAGAACCCCAGGATTAAAAAAGAAAAGTCTAGATTAGCCTCTCATCCAGGAATATTCTTGGGACTCTTCAGATAGGAAGTTTACAAATCCGACCCCATGATGGCACCGGTCCTCGTGTAAGATAGAGCCACAGAAAACCGCGGATAACTGCGATATATACACCAAAGGACCATCTGCAGTAATTAAACAACATGACATGAATACTTAGAGGAGAGTTGAGCTGTAGCTCCACTAGCCTTGGTCTCGCCACTGTATGGTGGTTAGTGGTCAGCCCCAGCCGCTTTACCACGGGTACCCATCGGACAGGAACTTGGATGGACCTCTTTGGATAAATGAAATACTGGCCGTCCACCCCGTAGCAAGTCGCTATACTGACTGAGCTATCCCGGATCCGTACGAAAGCATCCTTTTTATGTTTTAACAATTTCATTGTAATTTTGTTATGATGTATCTACGAGTGCGGACCGACTTCTCATAAACTTCTTCCATGTTTTAAATAAATGTGTCGAGAATTATTATTATCACCTAAATTATAAAGTTGATTTTTGTTATTATTATTATCTTATTATCATCATCATTTCTCAGATGTCATAAGTTGCCTTGTTTGCACTTTCTGTGTGTTTGTTTCTTTCACTTGCTTTCACTCTAACATTGGCCCTTGGGTTGTTGTGATGACACGCAAATAAATAATAATTTAATTGAAATATTAACTGCAGCAGCAGTAGCAGCAGCAGCAGCAGCAGTAGCAGTAGCAGTAGTAGTAGCAGCAGCAGCAGTAGCAGTAGCAGTAGTAGCAGCAGCAGCAGTAGCAGCAGTAGTAGCAGTAGCAGTAGCCTGGATATTTCGTTCAATAAATTGGTTGGGCGCCCTAACCCGAAGAATGAAGCTGTCATTTCGTCTCAAATCTTCTTTAGCTACTACTACTACTACTACGGTTACTACTACTACCAGTACTACTGCTGCTGATACTACTACTACTACTACTTCTACGGTTACTACTGCTACAATTACTACTGCTGCTGATACTACTACTACTACTACTTCTACGGTTACCACTGCTACCAGTACTACTACTGTTGCTACTACTGCTACTACTACCACCACCACCAGCATTTTTATCGGCTGCTATTAATAAAGTAGCTGCTATCAAAACGGATAATGCGAAATGGTTGTCACAATTCTCCTTTATCAGATGTGTTGAGTGGATGTCTGCACTGTGGGAAGTGACGCCCATACAAGCGTCAGCATTTGTGTCAAGACTGTGGACATATTTTGTTTTGGGGAAAAAATCAAGTCTACTTCTGTGAGCTGATGTCTCCACTGTTTATGATTTCCTGTAGCAGTCAGTGTAACAGCAAAGTAATCCTATAGCAATGCACTCACGCCATCTTGTGTGCAGGTCAATCCGGGTGACTATATTGTATGGGCCTTCCCATGGCCGCACCATAGCTCAAGCGGTTAGTCGCTGGTTTCCCACCGCGGCGGCCAGGGTTCGATCCCGGGTCTGGTCAAGTGGGATTTGTGGTGGACAAAGTGGCGCTTGGGCAGGTTTTCTCCGAGTACTTCGGTTTCCCCTGCCAATCTTCATCCCACCAATTGCTCCACAATCACCCTCGCCTATCATCTGGTGCTGGTACAATAGGCCAGAAGTGGCCGAAGTACAAGGGACTTAATCCCACCCCACTAGCAATAAAAAAAAGGGCCTTCCAATGAATATTGAAGTTTTGACGATTTCCCTTTCGTGCAGGTTGGACGATAGAGCCACACTCTGTCGCCCTCGTAGTAACCTGTGGAGTTGGCCAGTATATCGTACCGAGTTTTCGTCCGGTCACTGGCGAGCTTCAGGTGTTTCAGGGCATAATTGTGGATGTCGTGCAGGTGATCCACCAAGTCTGCCGCATACTCGATTGTGGGTAGTTCCTTGTCTGGGGGTACTCCAAACAGGAGGTCGCAGGGCAGTCGGAGTTCTCGTCCGAACACTAGGCTAGCAGGAGCCAAGCCCGTAGTGTCGTGAGTGGATGCCCTGTAAGCTAGGAGGAAGAGGGGTAACCTCTCATCCCAGTCCTTCTGGTGGAATGCGACGACCTTCCGCAAGTGCTCCTCGATGGTCTTAATGTAGCGTTCCGGCATGCCGTCCGACTGTGGGTGCAAGGGCGTGGTGTGCGTCTTGCTCACTCCCAGGCGTTGCAAAACTTCTTGTAGAAGATGAGACTCGAAGCTACGGCCTTGGTCACTGTGCAACTCCTGAGGTATGCCGAAGCAGCAGAAGAATTTGGTCACCAGAGCTTCAGCTATGGTCCTCGCCTCCTGATTGGGTATGGCGTAGGCTTCCCCCCACTTGGTTAAGTCATCCATAGCGATCAGGAGGCATCGGTCTCCTTGGTCGCTTCTTTGGAAGGATCCTGCTACATCTTTAGAAAGGAGCCCCAACATTGTACTGGTGAGTTTGCCCCCGAGTTTTGGTGCTGGGGCCGCAACTTCTCAGACAGGCGTTGCACTGTCGGCACCCTCTCTCGATATCGCCTCTTGCCTGGAGCCAATAGTACCGTTGCCGAACTTTATTCAGGATTTTGTTGAAACCCAAGTGACCTCCAGACGATCCACCGTGTAGTTCGGTCAGCACATCCTCCACTCCTCCGAGGAAGAACTATTTCGGCTAGAGGTCATCCGTTGGCGGATTCCCAGATACGCTCTAGTACCCCATTTCTCACAGCGAGCGATTTGCACGGAACCCAGTAGCTTTTGTACGCGAGACTATGATCGGCGATGTCTTTTCACTCAGTCGTCTTTCGGTTTCTACCTCCTGCTGAATGGGTCCTATTTCTGGGTCCGTTCTCAGAGTTGCTGGATCCCAGCCGACTGTAGCTCGTACTTGCTTGACGTCTGCCCGCACCTCTACTTTGTGGCAGTGCGTATACTCCTCTTGGCAGGGCCACTGTGAAATTGCATCGGCATTATTTTGCTTCCTGCCTTGACGGTGCTCGAAAGTAAAGTTGTATTCTTGTAATCCAGTGCGCAATTTGTCCTTCGAGGTGTCCATTTTGGTGTTTATTTCGGCCAGAAGGAATTCAATGTTTTCCATTTTTGTCGGATGTCAGTGTAAAATAGATGTTCCTTCCGATACTTGATTACTCCAGTAGAATCCGTAACACTTCTAACACCACTTGTTGCGTTCCTGGTAACGCGACAAGTAATTAATGGTTTCCGAATTAGATGAAGCGATTTATTGGATATTTACCAGGCGGATCTACAATAAGTTGTAACAAAATCTTACTGTGACCATAACACTTCGTAGCTATGAACACTGATGATACCACATAAAGTAAAGTCTTCGCATCTTCTGGTTTCTTGATCTGTAGTCTCCTGGAATCTGCTTTACTGTGCTTAGCTGACTCACTGCCTGTCGGTCTGCTATCTTCGCTAGTCTTCTTCAACAGCATAGTTATTGCGTTCCTAGTCGTTACTCTGTTTTGACCGGTTCGTTGCCCCGTGAACAATATTTACCTATCCGTTGAAACGGAAACTTTTCTGTATGCGTTACATAGGAATCGACGTCTGTCTATGCAATGCATTACTTCTTCAGTCGCAGTCGTTGCTGTGGAAATATTATTACCGAGCCGTTGTCTAGAAATGGACACCTGGCTCTGCCTCCACTATTGTGGCTTTCAGGCGTCATGTCACATTTCTTTTAAAACTTCTCTACAGCCGCACGATGAAATGCAAAGGAACTTAAACAAAGAAAGTTAAAAAAATACGTACAAATATAAACAACATCCATGAACTAATATTTAGTTTATAACATAGATATATATACCTTGGGCTATGCTACAGGCCGGAAGGTCGCGGGTTCAAGTCCCGATGAGCTCATTGGATTTTCTCCAATTCACTTAACCCTTCCAGCCAGCGGCCTCCGTATTCTAGAGGTAACGTTCCCACCTCATGACTCGTAGTACGCGGGTTAAAATACCCGACGGAGGTCGTCGAATTTTTAAGGGCGGAAAAATTCAGGGAACAAGTCCTCCGGGAGGGACTTTAAGCCTTGGGTCCTATGTCGTAGCTTTACGGCACGTAAAGGAACCTCATATCTCCAAAGGAGGTCACTGAGCAGAATTGCGGACGTTTGCCGCCAAACAGCAGTCACTAATACCTCCGGTAGATGGGGGAAGCATTATAGATACTTCTCAGCCAGTAGAGAGCCGGTCTCGCTGGCTGGGTGGGACTGATGGTAAGCACCAATACCGGTAGGATATAGAGACTGGTAGAAATCATAGAGGGAAGCGCAATGGACCACTACAGGTCTCAGTGCATTGGTAAACCCACCCTCTTTAATAACTAACTAACTAACTAACCCTTCCAGCCACGCTGTGGCCCTGGGGTTCACTCAGCCTCACTCAGTGCCAGGAATTAAATAAATAACTTTTCTGGGGAGTAAAGCGCGACCGGCAAGTAAGGCTGACAACCTTACCGCCATCTTTGAGCTGATTGTCTAGACAATGTGGGACCCTCAACGTCTCACAACCCTATGGGCCTCCACGGCCTGGTACAGGGATAGCTATACTTTACTTCCTTTTTTGTACTTTTACCCCTGAAGGTGGCATTGTAGATGCCGAAATATTTCCAGTAGACGGTCAGCGTAAATTGTAATTGACGGCATAAGATGACTGATAATAAATAAAGTTGTGGATTACCAATGCATGCAAGTCAACCTTAAAAAATACTGTAACATTTCCTGTTCTGTTTCAATTCGCTTCTGGTTTCATATAGACCATTTCTTGGCACAGAACTTATTCAGTTAACATATGATAACCTCTAGAAGTATCACTTAAGAACAACTGGTCTTTGCGTTAGGTACGCGAGCACGCGCATCATAGACAACATGTGTGTTCAATAGAGCAGACGATCCCCCAACTTTCTGTATGTGTACGAGTGTACTTTGCTCACAGACATTCGTAACCAGAGGTTTCCTTATTGCAGGATTTGATACAGCACCCACCTTAAAGGACAAATATGTCGAAGATATTCAAGTCTACTTGGTTTAAATTAAATTAAATTTAATTATTAAAAAGTTGTTGCGTTGACGGCTGAACTTATAAAATTAATATCATTAACGCACTGGGAGATAGCTCTTTTCGAATCTCGTCCAAGTAACCGTCCATCCTGAACAAGGCCTTTTATAATTTTGCCCCCACTTCCTCCTGGCCGATATCAGGGTAGGACCTTGAAATAAGGCAGAAGAGTTTCCTTTTAAATCCTTTCAAATTTACTGAATTCTACGAGTGTTATTCTCTTATATTTTTCGACACTAGATGACAGCTACAATTGATATACAAAACAAACTCCGTGGTTTTAGTCCGCAAGCGAACTATACTGCCCGAGCTACTGCTGCTTGTCGGCGAAGTTAGTACCAACTTTAACGGATAGAAAGTGTCACGTGGTCAGCGCAACGAATCCCCACTGCCGTTAATTTCGGTTTTCTAAACTGGAGCCGCTACTTCTCCATTCCAGTAGCTCCTCAATTATCCTCATGAGGCTGAGTGGATCCCGTTCCAGAACATTACTTCTCAGAATATTTGGTAGCGCCGGGAATCGAACCGGGACCTCTTGATTTGTAGCCAAGAACTCCGACAACTAGACCACAGAGGCAGTCCTACAATTGATGTAGTGTGGTTAAGTACTCACTGTTGATCCGTTTCCATAGTGAAGCCAGGTTCTTTCATAATTAGCTCCTTGTAATGATTGTTCATTCGGAGATTACAATCCGTCCTATACTGTAATCTCTTTGTAAGGCATATTAAAATTGTAGTCACTAAAACTGCGTTTCGAAATCTCACTGCAAAACGTTATATCCCAGAAGCTATGACAATTCATAGCCATCACTGTGATAACCTACAGACGTTACTGACTGCATCTATTGCTTTAAGTAGACTGACACGAATTACGCTTCTATAGTAATGTTTTCTAGCTTTAAACTTTGTATTTCATCACATTTAGTGAGCTTAGTAAGAGAATTCTGCTGATCACAGTGGACGCATGGTCTAAGGCATGAACCATCTTCATCCTCTCAAACACTGTGATCTTGGGTTCGAATCCCACTCGAGACATCAATGTCTGTGAGCTTTTATTCTGTGTGTTGTCCTGTGTGTAGGTAACGGCCTTGAGACGGGCTGATCCACCGTCCAAAGAGTCCTACCGGTTGTGAATATGTTAAGAAACTGAAAAAGCAGCCAAGGCCCAACAAAGGCTGTAGAGCCTTAGACAGATAGTAACAATATTCTAGTGAACCATCCTTGTTATATGAGGAACGAATATCTTGTCTGTGTTCACGATGTCCAAATCGGGTAACATTTTTGTACTCTGTAATGCGCCATATTTAGATTCATACGTCATCAGTCAGATGGTAAAGATAAGGAAACAACCTTTAGTCATAAAGGTTCAGTACATTCTGAACCGATCCCTTAGAGCAGGGGTCTCCAAACTTTTCGAAACGCGGGCCACATTAGGTAGTTCAGCACTTTCAACGGGGCGGATAAAATGAGAAATTAATAACTCTAGGTATATGAGTTTTATTGAAAGCACAGAATTTCATAAACTAAATACAAAATACGCGAGAATAAATTATCGTATATTAATGACAACAGACAGTAGCAGCAAATGCTCATATTTTCATCACAAATTATAATAAAACAATTAATGTGAATGATGGAACTCTTTTTGCATTCTTAAAATCTGATTAAATTGAGGTTCAAATTTTGCAACGCTAATCACAAGTAGCGACTTTAAATGTTCATCGGATAAATTTGCCCTCTATTTTGACTTGATCTACTTTATCTGGGAAAAAGTTTGTTCACACAGATATGTCGTCCGAAAAATGGAGATAAATTTACAAGCAAATTTCTTTAAATTTGGGAATTGCTCAGAGTTAAGAAATTTATAAAAGTCGATCACATTTCCTTCCTTGTATTTGTCTTTAATATGATAATCTTCCTGAAGTTCCATAATTTCCATTTAAATTTGACTTCGGAAATCTGCAGCATCACAGTTAAACGGATTTTGAAACAATTTAATTTCCTGAGCACTGGCATCCAAATCAGCAAATCGCTTCCGAAATTGTTCTTTCAAATCTAAAATGACTAAACTTGCAAACGAGGAAGGAAATCCTGCTTCACCCTTTTTATGCAACTCTGCACAGTATAGCATATGAACAAAGTTACAATTTTTCACTTGGCTTTCCAAAAGTATCAACTTTATTCTGAATGCCTTGATAAGTGTAAATAAATCACAGACTGAGTTATTTTCACCCTGCAACTTTAAATTCAGATGGTTCATATGGTTCACCAGATCAGCAAAAATGCTAATTTCCAAAGCCACTTGGTATCTGATAAAAGTGGTTCGTGATGGTTTTTCTCGGTAAGAAATATATCAATTTCATTCTT